GGTCAAATCTTCAGTTTTGAATAATTTTTACATCATTTTAATCTGTATGAAGTAAGCATTACAAAAATGAATATATCATAGGGGCTACCATCAAGTGAATTTTTTTTTGATTCTTTCCTTATCGTCGTTTTTGCCTAAGCAACAACTGACCTGGCCTGACAAACAGGTACGCTCGCACCTACCTCGCACCTAATCTGTAATGGCCCAGGCATATTCGCACCTGAACGTGAGTGATTGAAAATTGCCATTAGGAGAAGAACTTACCTTGATTATATATGACCGCAAGAAAAGTATGATTTATGCTTTAAAAAAAGAAAGCGATAGATATTTAGGATGAGGAACTCTCAAAGAAATGAAAAAGCAAAAGATTAACAGCAGCGAAAAGAACACTGTTTTTAAAGTAAATACCTAAATTGACAAACAAAGTTCTAACTTGATATAGAAGAGGATAATCTTAAGTATGATTTTACAAGTGAGAGAAAAAGTTATTCAACAATCGTTACTATTCATCTCCCTTCTAAAATGTTTCTTCCTCCTTGTTCAATAACTCCTTTCATTTTCCTCCTGACTCCACTAATGTATTTCTTGCACGTCTCTGGTGTTATGGTTTTCCAATACGAAACAATCGCTACCTTCAAATCATCATGATTTCGAATGCGTTGCTTCCTAAGTTATCAGAAAATTTTATGATTTTTACATTGATAAATGGATGGAAATCAATAATAATTGTATGAAGTTCTTCATGTTACCCCGCACAAGTTCGATGGGATTTAAATCAGGAGACTCTGCCGGCCAATCCAAAGTCTCTATATCCCATTCTTCAAACTTGTTTAGGCTTTTATGGGCTGGTGCGTTATCCTGCACCAATCTACCAAATCCTAAATTTATTAAAACTTCGTACAAACACACAACAAGTTGATAAATCTACTCTGCAGAGTTCATAAGCCAACTAACCATTATGGGCCTTTTGCAAAAAAGGAATGTAGCATTTTTCGAGTATCCTGCAATAAATCTCGCTGTTTATGCGGCAGTTTCCTCCTAGTATGGCCAGCTGCGTGGTCCCTCGCTCAGAAATTCCACCCCAGATATGTACTTTGGCAGGATGTTTGGCCCTGCTACGCATTCTGGCAAAGTGGTCGCCTTTTTTAACGTAGCGGAATCGAGTGGAGCAATCAACTAGAGCGAAAATTTGGAATATAGGGAAATTTTCAGTATTCAAATCCTTACTCTGGACAGTGCTCTCATCAGTAAAGACGAGTCCGAAAAAGTTGTCAACTCTCTAAGCATGTTTGTGCAAAAATTTACACGAGCAGCCTTATTCACATCCCTTATGGTGTGGCAATACTTAGTTGTAGTTTTAGTATATCCTAGTCGTTGCCTCGGCCTTTTGATGTGCGATAAGCTCACAGTTATTCCACGCAGTTGCAGCCGTCTACACACATCATTAGCTGTTGCAGAGCTATTACAACTATAGCAACGCTCTATCTCAGTCTTGATCTCTTCAATATGATCTGCAATGAAAGTTCCAAGGAATCTTGAGTCATACTCAAAACAAAAAGGTTAATACAAACTTGAGAGAGAGCGTGGAGAAAAGATTTTTGATTGGATGTCAGGATTTTCAAAAGTTTTGAGAAACCTCCAAATCATGTTGTAAGTGAAGGACGGATCCACCTAAAGGCTTACTGTTATGATTCAAGTACAACAGTAGGCACCATTGGGCTGTATAATTTATCTCTTACTTTTTTCACTTCGCGAACGATGTAACTTAGTGACTTCCCCTCTTCTCTCAAACCGATAATGGTGCTGATATGTTTGAAAATCTTGTGTCCTGGGTTGTGAATTTTCATCTAGGATGTAAAAAAGAGGTAAACTATGATACAGAAAATATTAGAAGATATTAAAGAGAGAATATGATGCATGATATTTGGAAAGGAATTGTAGGTAAGATATTCTTGTGCGAATAGAAAGGAGCGCACGTTTTTTAATTGACTTACGCGTATCATGCCTCAGGCTGCCCTCCCTACGACCCGTTCCAAGTCCGTGCCATACACTGTTGCATATAAATTTGAGGTGAAGTAAAATTAGACACAAGATGTCTTTCGCACTGGTATTCTGCACGCAGAGCCGTACCAAAGATGTGTTGCCCACAACCGCGATCCCGACGGGAGTAAGATGCGGGGACGTCGCCAGGATCCGCTGGGAGGGCCGCTTTTATAAAGCAAAGGTAATTTTGTAAGCTAAGATAAGATTTATGACACGGCGCTTCTAATAGAAATGTTATGCAAATCAAGGAAAGATGCAGCTCTAATCTTTAGATTCTCTTTATCGGCGTAAAGGAGCTCTGTGAACTAAAATCTGCATCGGTAACCAGCGAGGGCAATTTGATCGAAAGCGAGTTTGATACTACTTTAGGATTTTCTGATGACGACAACGACGAAATCTGCGAACCACAGCCATCGTCTTCGGGGGAGAAGGAGATTGTAACCAGATTAATAAGGATAGAGGAACTGTGCGGTGTCAGAGCCGAGAATAAGAAAAGAAGAGATGCTGAATTTGCGTCACAAAATCAAAGGATTGCCCACTTGGAACAAATATTAAAAGAAGCATTACGTCGGCTGCCGGTGGTACAAGCGCAAGGCTGGTTGATCCTTTTACGTTACTTGGATAAAATTTAATTCACTTTTCAAGGGGAGATAAATACATTTACGCAACAGCAAAGACGGTAGCTGAGATTCGACAGCTCAA